TCTTGTTTCCTTTGAATGAACCATACCATTATTGGCAGAGAGTAGAATATTTAAATATTTCCTGGGTGTTCTTTCAAACTAGCCATAGAAAATGAACAAATGATTCATTTTCAGAAATGTTCTGAGCATCTTTTACCAGGAATGTGGCTGACATGGATTCTCATATAGCTGGCTCCTTGTCATTGCCATCTCAGCTCAAATATTATCTTTTTAGAGAAGCCCTCCCTGTCTGAGTAATCAATCATTCTTTTCCCCTCCTTCATAACAAAATACAAGATAATAGTCTCATATTTTTTCTCTACCAGCAAAATGTTTCATGAGGGTAATGACCTTGCCTGTCTTATCACTGTGTTGTGTGTCTTATCCTGAAACAGGGGAGGCAATCAGTAATTATTTGCTTAATGAGTGAATAAATATTTGTTTCTTCTCAAATTGTTACATCTTTTTCTCTAAATGTCAGAGTAATCCTTTAAAATTTTTTGATTCTACTGAACTAAAGTCAAGTTTTCTAAAATAAGTATAGCGAAAGGAGGTCAGTGTAGCTGGAGTGAAGCTAGTCAAGGGAGAGACTAGTAGGAGATGATATCAGAGGAGGGGAGGTCAAGGCCTCTGTCTCATGTGGATTTTGGTTTTCACTCGTAATGATATGGGAGGCCATTAGAGGGTTTTGAATGAGAAGTGACATGATCTGACTTAGCTTCAAGAGTTACTCTGACTTCTGTGAGGTCTGTAGGAAACTTCTGTAGGGATACTGAAGATGGTCTATTCTGGGCTCTCACATCTGTTCTATTGGCTGAGTTATTTATCTGTGCCAGAACCACCCTGTCTTAATTCCTATCACTCTATTATAATCCTCAACATATTCAGTACGGCATCTTGCCAGATCCTACCCTCAAAGCCTAGTGCTTTTATAACTTTTCTTATCATTCTTACTCTTTTCTTTCTCTTATTCTTTGCTGCTCATACTTGTAGTAGGAGGGTGTTGCTTCTACTTGGAACTCTGCCCTTCCATATATATTTTAAAATCAGCTTGTCTTAATTCTTTAGAAAACCTTGTTGGGATTTCATAGATCAATATGGAAAGAATTGATACCTTTATAGTTTCGAATTTTCCTAGCCATAAAATTTGGATAACTTATTTAGGTGTTTTTTAATGTCTTCGAGTAAAGTTACGTATATATTTGAAAAGTGATCTTGAATATCTTTTGTTAAATCTTAAGTGTTTTTTATTAATTATCGTAAATGTATTTTTTGTTTTTGTTTTCGTTTGAGACAAGGTCTGGCTCTGTTGTCCAGGCTGGGGTGCAGTGGCGCAATCTTGGCTCACTGCAGCCCCTGTTTCCCAGGCTCAAACCATCCTCCCATCTCAGCCTCCGGAGTAGCTGGGACTACAGGCATGTGTTCCACGTCAGCTAATTTTTGTATTTTTTGTTGAGACGAGATTTTGCCATGTTGTCCAGGCCAGTCTCGGCAAATTGCTTCATGAGTTCAATCTGCTTGCCTCAGCCTCCCAGAGTGCTGGGATTACAGGTATGAGCCACTGTGCCCTGCCCATAAACGTGATTTTTAAAAATTACATTTTCTATTTCTTACAAATGAGCTTTACAAATCCATTTGATAATTGTGTCTTAAGTTTATATTCAGCTACCTTGCCAAATACTACTACTAATAATAATTTATGAATTCTTTTGAATTTTCTGTAAGGTAATAATATCTGTAAATTCTGTTTTTGTTTCCCTGTTTTCAATCATACATTTCAGTCATTTATTGTTTCTTATTTTACTAAGCCAGCTGTAACCCATGAGGATGTTTTCGTTTTTTGTTTTTGAGACAGGATCTTGCTGTGTCACCCAGGCTGGAGTACAGTGGTGCCATCATGGCTCACTGCAGCTTCGACCTCCTGGCCTCAAGCATTCCTCCCATCTTACCCTCTGAGAGTAGCTAGGACTACAAATGTGTACCACCACACCTACCTAATTTTTGTATTTTTTCTAGAGACAAGCTTTCACCATATTTCCTAGGCTGGTCTTGAATTCCTGAGCATGAGTGATCCATCCATCTCAGCCTCCCAAAGTGCTGGGATTATAGACATGAACCACTGTGCCTGGCTAGGATGTTTAATACTAATGTTAATAAGTATTAGTAACAGAACTCCTTGTCATGTTTTTGTTTGTTTTTTTGGACACAGGGTCTCACACTATTGCTGAGGCTGGTGTCCAGTGGCATAGTTATGGCTCACTGCAACCTTGACCTCCTGGGCTCAAGTGATCCTCCCATCTCAGCTCCCACAACTTTGCCCTCCAGGCTAGGTTTTTTGTTTTTTTTTTTTTTATGGTAGAGACTGGATCTCTCTGTGTTGCTCAGGCTGATCTCTAATTCCTGAGCTCAAGCAATCCTCCTACCTTGTCTTCCTCAAGTGCTGGGATTATTCACGTGAACCACCACCTCCAGCATATGTTCTTAAGTTTTAAAGGAACTATGTCTCCTGTTTTACATTTAAGAATGATGTTTGGGCTGGACGTGATGGCTCACACCTGTAATCCCAGCACTTTGGGAGGGTGAGGCAGGCAGATTACCTGAGGTCGGGAGTTCAAGACCAACCTGACTAACGTGGGGAAACCCCATTTTCATTAAAAATAGAAAACATTAGCGGGGTGTGGTGGCACATGCCTATAATCCCAGCTATTCAGGACACTGAAGTAGGAGAATTGCTTGAACCCGGGAGGTGGAGGTTGTGGTGAACCGAGAGTGTCCCATTGCACTCCAGCCTGGGCAACGAGAGCGAAACTGTTTCAATTAAGAAAAAAAAAAAAAAAAGAATGATGTTTGTTGTAGGTTTTTGTCAGATGCCCTTATCAGGATATGCATATTTTAAAATCACCTAATTGTGTATATATTGCTTTTTAGAAAGCTTGCACCAATTTACATTCCTACCATCATTGTGTGAAAGGGCACTTCTTGACAGTACTTATCCACATCACATGGGGTATTCTTGTTAAAAGGTTCAGATTTTACAGGCAGCGAGGAACTTCTTTACTTGTTTAGGTTTATTTCTTCCTTTTAAAACAATATTTTGTGTTGGTACCAATGTTATTCTTTTTAGAGATACGATAGGTTTTTTGAAACAAAAGAACTTATTTTGAAAATATTTCAGATATAGAGAAAAATTGCAAAAACTGTGCAAAGAATTTCCTACTTCCTATATCCTTGACCTAGATTTTCCAAGTGTTAACGTTTAATCATATTTGCTTTATCATTCTTCCTGTCTCTTTTTCTTTTCTCCCATATACAGATGTAATTTTTCTCAGTGGTTTAAGTTGCAAACATGATGCCCCTTTAAAAACTTTAGTGCTATTTCTTCAAAATGAGAACATTGTTTTATATAACCAAAGTACTAATATGCAAATCAGAAAACTGACAACAGTACTATAATCTGTGAAATTTGAATTGTATCAGTTGTTCTTTATAGCCAAAAAAGAAAAAAAGCTTTTTCTTGTTCAGGATCTAATCCAGGATCATGCCATTATATTTCACTGTCATATCTCTTAATCTTTAATCTGGAGTTGTCGCTTCTCGTTATTCAGTTGTTTCATGTCTTTCATGACCTTGACATTTTAAAAGAATATGGGCCAGTTATTTAGTAAAATGCCCCTCCCTCAACTTGGGCTTATCTGTTGCTTCTTGTGGTTAGATTCAGGTTTTGCATTTCTGGCAGGAATGCCACAGAAGTGGTGATGTGATGCATCCTATCAGGGGGCATATAATGTTGGTTTTGTCCTCTTATTGATGATGTTAACTTGATCATTTAATTAAGGTGGTGTCTGGCAGGATTCGTCAGTGTAAAATTACTATTTTTCTTCTTGTAATTAATAGGTATCTTGTGGGGAGATACTTTGAGATTAGATAATATCCTGTTTTCCATCAAACTTTCAACCACTAGTTTTAGCATATATTGATCGTACTTGCTTGAAATAATTATTACCAAGAGTGATTGCCAAATGGCGATTTTCTAATTCCATCACTACATTTATTATTTGGCATTATACTCCCCAAAAGAGCTTTCTCGTCTCCCTCATTTATTTATGTCAGTAAGCACTTAAAAAAAATTATATGGGTTATAATCTGTTACTGTGCTTATTTATTTCATTGCTGGTATATTCCCAATTAGGCCACTGGGAGTCACATCAGTCTGATTCCTGTGTCCTTTTGAGGTACCCCTATCATTCTTTGAGCATTTCCTTTCTGGCTCCACAAAAATATACCCTAGGCTCCTATTGTACTTTTCCTGCCCTAGCCTTGGAAGCAGCCATTTCTTCAAGGAATCGTAGTTCCTTTTATTAGAGCATTAGAGCACCAGCTGTGTTCATAGCTATAGGGATATCATTGCTTCTAGGCCTTCTCAGCAGACAGAGCTAGGGAATATAGGTATGTGAGTGTATATTTACACAAAAACATTTATATCTTTCTATAGCCCTCAGTATATTAAAAACTGAGCTTGTATTGTTAACTCCAACTCCAAGCCTTCTCCCTTTTTATATTTGTTACTCCCTTTTATGAGACTAAGAAACCAAGGTCAGTATATTCACAGAATATTTACCTATTTGCCCAATCTTAGCATACACACAAACAAGTTTCATGTCACTGTATAAAAGCAGGTATCTAAGTAGAGTATAGTATTTGTTTATAATTCTTTTTGTTTTTAGCTTTGGGAGAGTAGATAGTGAAAATGCTGTTTTCAGAAGTTACCTGTGGTTAATTCATTTGCCCTGGTCCCCTAAAGTGTGGTTATATTAATGATTTCAAATACAGAGAGGTTCATTTGTTTGTTTGTATTTGTCCCATTTTGGATTCTTCCCTCCTATTACTGTTGGTTTCTTGTTCATTTTAAATGTATAAAACATTAAAATGGATTGAAAGTAACTATATAAAAAGGTAGGATAGGTTATTAGAGTACTGCAAATATAAAACTTATGGCTTTTAATTGTGTTTGTTTTTTTCAGGAAATCATTTAATACTTGATGATTAGAACAAATATGTGAAAGCTCCCACCAACCAGTGAGAATTTCTTCCTTCAGAAGGGTTTTTGTTCTTACTGCACAGCTTTTTTGGTGCCATGTTTTATGGCTTGCATCAAAAGAGGAGTTTGTCTTCATGAAGATTCCTAACATTGGTAATGTGATGAATAAATTTGAGATCCTTGGGGTTGTAGGTGAAGGTAAGTTGGAATTTTTGTGTTCCTTGAGTTTGGAGCAATGAGCAGTTAGTTGTTCCTACCACCAAAATGTTACTAGTCTTATTCTGTTAATTTAACCGGTATCAATTCACATGTGTGTCTGAGAGTAAAATATTAAAAATAAAATTACTCTTAAACAATTTGGGTCTTACTCTCCAATAAAAAATTAATGATATTTTAAAACCCTTTAAAGTTTACTAAATCAAAGGTTTTTTTACCCATTTCTTTTAAAAAGAGCCCCAGTGTTAAAACAGTCTTGACTGCCTTCATTCATTTTTTTTTTAGCAATCATGAGCTCTTCCTTAGTCTACATTTTTTTTCTTGGTTACATTTTATTTTTATATCAGCTAGGCTTATTTTGAATAACGTAAATTCCATTTATTTATTTATTTGTTTGAGACAGAGTCTCACTGTTACCCAGGCTGGAGTACAATAGCACGATCTCGGCTCACTGCAGCTTCTACCTCCTGGGTTCAAGCAATTCTCCTGCCTCAGCCTCCTGAGATTACAGGCCTGAGCCACTGTGCCCAACTAATTTTTGTATTTTCAGTAGAGGCTGGGTTTCACCATGTTGGCCAGGCTGGTCTTAAACTCCTGACCTCAGGTAATCCACCTGCCTTGGCCTCCCAATATGCTGGGATTACAAGTGTGAGCCACCGTACCCAGCTGAATAACTTAAAATTTATTTGTATATGTTAAATTTTACTTAATACATGGTAAATAAATGAATGAATAGCTTCTGTTTCTTTGAAAAAGAGATTACATTTTGTAAATTCTGAGGCACACAATTTTATCTCCGAAATCAGGATGTATCTTATAATCAGTATCATCTCATGGTTTAATTGACAGCACTCTTCCTTTCCTAATAGTACATAAAATAATGCCCACAACCAAGGGAATGCCATTGATTTGATGAAATATGATGTCATTTTGTGTAAACTGACTCCTAAAAAAATTCATTTCTTCCTGATTTTTCCTGCTTAGTAATTTTTGCTCTAGACTTAAAGATAACTTTGGGAATTTTGATCAAGGATTCTGTTAACAGAGGACAAGTGATTATAATTATGGTTTCTCAGCATTTATATCTTTAAAACATGTTACAAAAATTTCATATTTCAGTTTTTTGAAATAAACTTTGAATTCCTAAAAGACTGTAAAAAAGTTTACCTATGTGAACAGAAAGCTGTTAAGTTTTAAGCTGTATATGTATGTATACAAAATTTTCAAATATGTATAAAAAATTAAATAGTTTAATCATTGGATGCTTGTTTCAAGGTCTGAAGTTCAAATCATGTAAAACAAATAGGTCTTTGTTCCTTGCCTAGTCAACTCCTTTTCCATTTCTTCATTGATGTTATATAAAAATTCATTCTCAGTGTCTTGCCTACCATCTGTTCTATAATGGCTGCCTTTTTTGTTTATTTTATTTTTCAAAAGTATTAGAGTTAAAGACTAATGCAATAAAGGTGTGCTGACTGTAGAAGGCTATCACATAGGGTGTAACAATGTTAGAATGTTCCAGATTCTGGGCCTAAGTTTTCCTAGATCATAACTTGTTTTTCTCAGTATAGCCATAGGTGATCGATCATCTTCTTTGGGACTGGCTCAAAATTACCAGGCATATATATATATATATTAGAATATATTACTTTAAGTTGTAATCAGAACCACCATTGCTGTATGTTTCTTTCTTTGGAAGTCACTTCACATATTTTTTTGGCTAGGATATACATATAAAGTATATAAAACTCTGTCGCCGGACGTGGTGGCTCACGCCTGTAATCCCAGCACTTTGGGAGGCTGAGGCGAGTGGATCACAAGGTCAAGAGATTGCTATCATCCTGGCCAACATGGTGAAACCCCATCTTTACTAAAAATTCAAAAATTATCTGGGCTTGGTGGCGTGCACCTGTAGTCCTAGCTACTCGAGAGGCTGAGGCAGGAGAATTGCTTGAACCTGGGAGGTGGAGGTTGCAGTGAGCTGAGATCGTGCCACTGCACTCCAGCCTGGCGACAGAACGAGACTCCATTTCAAGAAAGAAAAAAATCTGTCAAGCAAAGTCTACATTTTTGTAGTTTAGACAGTGTATTTTCCACCCCGTAGAAAAACTGGCATAGGCAGTTAGAGAATTGGACAATTGCCTGGCAATTGTGGGGTTAAGTTAGATGGTTATAATGGCTGGTTCTGCGCTGTGATAACAGGATTCATCCATCTCTACCAAAGTGAGGGAGACTTGTTCAGGTCCTGTAGACTCTATTGGAGACACATTTCCCAATTTTGTCTCCCTGAAGCCCCCTTCTCGTAGATGAATGCAGGCTTGCCAGTCTGCTAATGTTAATGTTCTTGATGTTTCTGCAAAGCTCAGCTATCGTTCATTACATTTTGATTCTCTTAGTTAGATTTTTCGCACTATATTTTTAACCTCGGTTTCCTGGGTACCTTGCTGTCAACTCTGTTCTACTTCTAAGGAAGAAGTCTTTTGCCTCAATAATAGTAACCCCAAAGGTGGTTACTTATCGAAATACACTAAAGAAAATAATACAAAGAAATACATGTGGCCTTTGTGCATGAAGTGAGTCTTTATGGCAAAAGGTAGCAAATCCTACTAGCTATTAATTGGAATACTGAGGCCTGTACCATTTTGCTAGTCAGGAGAGACATTCAGCTGGGTGTGGTGATGCATGCCTGTAATCCCAGCACTTTGGGAGGCTGAGGTGGGAGGATTGCTTGAGGCTAGGAGTTTGAGACCAGCCTAGGCAACATAGCAAGATCATGTCTCTACAAAAAAACTTAAAAAAAAAAAAAGAGGGCCATTTCAGTATCCTAGAGGAAGATTTTAGATTTTAATGTCTCATAGAACAGATAGTGTATTTGGTGAGCTCTGTGCTTAAGCTTACTATTGGGATGTCATTAGCTCTTAAGGTTTTTTTTTTTTTGAGATGGAGTCTTGCTGTGTTGCCCAGGCTGGAGTGCAGTGGCGGTATCTCAGCTGACTGCAACCTCTGCCTCCCGGGTTCAGACGATTCTCCTGCCTCAGTCTCTTAAGTAGCTGAGATTACAGGAGCCCGCCACTATGCCCAGCTAATTTTTGTATTTTTAGTAGAGATGCGGTTTTGCCATGTTGGCCAGGCTGGTCTCAAACTCCTGACCTCAGGTTATCTGTCAGCCTTGGCCTTCAAAAGTCCTGGGATTGGGCCGGGCGCGGTGGCTCAAGCCTGTAATCCCAGCACTTTGGGAGGCCGAGGCAGGTGGATCACGAGGTCAGGAGATCAAGACCATCCTGGTCAACAAGGTGAAACCCTGTCTCTACTAAAAATATAAAAAAATGAGCTGGGCATGGTGGCGCGTGCCTGTAATCCCAGCTACTCAGGAGGCTGAGGCAGGAGAATTGCCTGAACCCGGGAGGCGGAGGTTGCGGTGAGCCAAGATTGCGCCATTGCACTCCAGCCTGGGCAACAAGAGCGAAATTCCATCTCAAAAAAAAAAAAAGTCCTGGGATTACAGGCATGAGCTACCATGGCTGGCCTAGCTCTTAAGTTCCAGCGAATCTTTTGAGTTAATTTTCAAAGTTAAGACCAAATCTTATCTTCATAAATGTGTAAGCCTACATTTAAACATATCTCCCATGAAATTTTCTTTAAAAAGAGAAACATGTAAAAATACTTGTTGGAGGAAATGACTTGTCTATACTCTTGATTTGTAATAAATGTATAATAAAGTATGTTCCATTTGTATGTGGCTCATTATTGCATTACCACTATAGAATCTCGTCACTTTAAGAGTCATTATTATAACACTGAGAAGCAATGTCAATATAGCAGAGCTTTGATTTTTTTCAAGACCTATAATTTGTATGCATGCCCTTGATTGTTTATTTCTTTTTATTATAGGAGCCTATGGAGTTGTACTTAAATGCAGACACAAGGCAAGTACATGATTTTTAAAAAGAAATATCTATATATGTTGACACTAATGCAGTGCTCTGTGCATGTAGGCATGTACAGGTTGAGCATTCCTTATCTGAAATGCTTGGGGCCAGAAATGTTTTTTATTTTTTTGGATTTTGGAATTTTTCCATCTATATAGTGAGACATATTAGGGATGGGACCCAAGGCTAGGCAAGAAATTCATTTATGTTTCATGTATACTTAATACATATAGCCTAAAGGTAATTTTATGCAATATTTTAAATTTTTGCCTAAAACAAAGTTTATGTACTTATATGTGGAATTTCTACTTGTGGCATCATATCAGTACTCAAAGTTTTGGATTTTGGAACATTTTGGATTTTGGAATTAAGGATGATCAACCTGTAATTAAAACTCTGGTTATGATGATGTTCTTTAATGAAGTAGAATTAATATGTGAATGCGTCCAGAAAGAGACTACTTTTAGATAAGGTTGATCATGGTTGGGTAGTTCTTAGTTCTTAGCAATCGCGTGCTATTTTTTTTTTCAGCCGACCTGTGCCATACACCTCATAATGACATTTAGGTCAACAGTGGACAGCATGTACGATAGTCCCATAAGATTATGATATGGTATTTTTTGTTTAGATAAAAAACATATATGTTCAGATATGCAAATATTTATTGACTGTGGTACTCAGTAAGGTAACATGCTATACAGGTTTATAGCCTAGGAACAATAGGCTATACTATGTAGCCTAGGTATGTATTAGGCTGTACCATCTAGATTTGTGTAAGTACACTCTATGATGTTTGTACAGTGATAAAATCACCTAATGGCCTATTTCTTAGAATGTATTCTTGTCATTAAGTGATGCATGACTCTATAAATGAAAAGCTGCCTAATGAGAAAAGAGAAAAGGTGGTGGGATGGGAAGAAGAAAGCAAGGCAGTGACAGATTTAATTTATGTTCAAGTACTTACGAGCAAAGAGTTTTTTTTTTTTTTAGTATTTTTCATAGAGACCCATTAACTTAGATTGCTTGATGCATTTGAATCTAGATTTGAAGGATAGTAAGGTAGGTGTTTGGATATGAGCTAAGACTTGGGATAATAGTGTGTGATTATGATTATTGGCTATAGTTGATCATCCTTGAACAGCTGTGAAATGAACCTTACTAGAAATTATTTTAGTATGATAATCAGCAATTATTCAGAGAAGTTATTGGAAGTTTCCATAGCTGTTGTTCAATGGTAAGCATGTTTTACTTGGAGAGTAACTTTCAGATGGCAAGTACTGAAACTGTAACAAACACTCGCTTAAATATTTTTCTATGATGGCATACCTAATCTGAGTATTTGGCTTTATTTGCATATAATTTGTTAAGACCAAGGTTTTGTCTGTGATGATTTTAGCAATTTAACCCAAGACATTTAAACTCTTAAATCTGTCATCTATTGAAAATAATATATGTGTGTATGTGTGTAAATATGCACACATGTGTAAATAAAGATGATACTCTTACATTTGCTTTTTCTTTCCTATTTTACAAAATCCTACCTGCCTTTTGGATTTCAGCCTTTGTGATAGTTAATATATTTTTGTGTTTTAAATCACAGATCTCTCACTTTTAGGCAATGGCTTTTGTATTCTTGAAATTGGGTATTTGAACTATTTAATGTTAATAATAGTTATCTGAAGACTTCTTTGCCATTAAATTTTCAAAAATGGTTTGAATACTATTGGTTCTTGATTAAAGATGATTAAGAATTTAAAATAATAAATGTAATAAAAATAAATTTAGCACCTTGAGCACCTTGTTAAGAAATATTACTGTGGTTTGAAATTAAACAAATGAAAAGCTCCCTAATAAAATGCTAAATGCTATACTTTTAATGAGTTGCCTTTAGTTATAAGTTTCTGAAGCTTAAAAAGAAATTCCTGGGTGCATATTACTTGGGGGAAATAGGTTATTAGTTTCATAGTTAAATTTGACTGTTTCTTGAACATAAAACCTCCTTTTATACAGTGGCTCTGTTTATATAACATTGCAAATGGAAGCTTCAGTTCTTCTAATCTTGGGTTTTAAAACTCAGAGATTTCTGAGATATATACATATGTTACATACGTACATATACACATGCATAAATATGAATTACGTATACATATATCTGGTATATATTATACATCAGGTACAGAGTCCAAATGTTTTCTCACAGTCATTGTCATACTTCAACCTGTGACCTTTTTCTCTATACTGTCATGTGACTTTAAGCTCTCCTTCTGCATTTTATGTAAAAATTAAGTTATTATTCAAATATATTGTTTTTATCTTTCCATTTACTGATTTGTTAAAATGGTTGTTTTTGTGTACCTGGTTCTCAAAACACACAGTTAGTGCCAGCAGGATGGGCCCAGTGTGAAAGTGGATGAGAATGGACATCTCTGCTCTTAGGAGACCAACTCTAAATGTGAACTCTGATTTTTAGTTACTGTGTGTAGGGCACTTGGAGTTACAAGGATAAATAAACCATACTTTTCTTGCCTTCATTTGGCTTTATGGTCTGTCTCAAGAGATAGAAGAATAGATACTTAAAAAAAAAAAAAGAAACCAAGCCTATGAGGTGGCTGCAGATGAGATACATCTAAAACATTTTTCTCTTTGCTGTCCTTCACTACATGAGGTCACACACCAGCTCCTTAAGTGTTGTTGCTTTCTCCTTGCTTGTGTCTAAAAAGATATCACTGAATGGAAAATTTAAAGCATAAATTAGTGCCTATCTCAGAGTATTATAAAACTCTTTTTTAGAATCTGCAGCTGTTTAGTCATTAGGCTTGTTATAGATAGTATATCCTTTTCTCAGCTAAAATCAGACCTTCAAATCTATACCCCATTATCCAAAAATAGAGAATTTGATGCTTCTGGTAAGATTGACGCTTTAGGGTCAAACAAATGGATTATAATGAAACTCATGTTATAATTAAAAATGTATATAATCTTCCTGATTGTACTCATATGTAATCAGGCCAATATATTTTGCATACCTTTAAAAATTTAGTGAAGTGTTTATAAAACTGTAAAGTCAGGTTTGTGTGATTGTTTATGTGTAAATTGGGTATCTTTTTGAAAAGGTTGGCTGTGGGTGTATACATAATTAAATAATTCTTATGTTGTTTATTTGAGCAAGTATGGAAGAAAGTCACTGTTTTAATCTGTGTACTGTTGCAGTAATTTAGAGGTCATGCTGATAAATAGGTGTATTTTGTCTTTTGCGCACAGACTATGACACCGGGCTAATCCAGACCAAAGACCATACTTCTTAATTTACTGAAATGCTGCTCAATTTAAAAGGAGAAATATAGCTTGTACTGTTTTTTTTTTTTTTGACAGCTAACAAAATTAAGCTGTATATATTTATTGCATATAGAGCAATAAGTTGTTATATACACACATTGACATGCATATGACAACTCTTAGCAGTGACTAAGCTTCTTTTTAGGACTCCTTAGGACTACTCACATTTGAAAGATGTTCTAGGCTGGACACAGTGGCTCATGCTTGTAATCCCAGCACCTTGGGAGGCTCAGGCAGCCATATCACCTGAGGTCAGGAATTTAAGACCAGCCTGGCCAACGTGGTGAAACCCCGTCTCTACTAAAAATACAAAAATTAGCCAGGAGTGGTGGCACATGCCTTTAGTCCCAGCTACTCGGGAGGCTGAGACAGGAGAATCACTTGAACCCAGGAGGTGGAGGTTGCAATGAGCCAGATCGCACCACTGCACTCCAGCCTGGGTGACAAGAGTGAAACTCCATCTCAAAAGAATTTAAAAAAAAAAAAAAAAAAAAGATGTTCTGGTTTGGACCTTTACCCTGCAGATATACATAGTTAATTATCTTTTTATTTGCATGTCTGTTTTTTTTTCTCTCATGCCTCAGCCTCCAGAGTATCTGGGACTACAGGGCATGTGCCACCATGCCCTGCTAATTTTTGTATTTTTAGTAGAGACAGGGTTTCACCACATTGGCTAGGCTGGTCTTGAACTCCTAACCTCAACTAATCTACCCACCTCGGCCTCCCGAAGTGCTGGGATTACAGACATGAGCCGCCTCGCCCAGCGTTGTGTGTCTGTTTTAAAGTGCCTGTGAGATAGGCATATTTTATAGCATGCTTTTCTTAGCAAAGACCCAAAGAGGTCATGCTTACAACAAGGCAAGGAGAACTGGTTGGGGTTGAAGTAAAGACATTCAATGAGAACTGGAGGAGTAGACTTGTACGGCTTGATAGACAGGCTGGAGAGTGATGCTCATTGAGCCTAGGACAGAAAGTGCTTATTCATATAATCCGTTTCCCGTGACTGTGGTTGACTTATGAGAAGTTTTTGTTTATTTTGAAGTAGTAGGTCACATATGCTTTTGAGATACACGTTTATACAAAGCTGTGAACTTCCATCATTGGGGTACAGCCTATAGATGTTCAATAAATAATTACCTTATGTTAGAGAACTAAAAATGAAGGATGTAGTGGAGAGCTGTTGCAGAGTAGCAGGGACTTGGTCCTTATGGAGGATGAAAGATGACTCTAGGAATTTGAATGTGGTAAACTAGAAAAGCTTTGGTATTATTTATCTGACTGGAAACTTATAAAAGGTATATCAGTTTGGGGGGAGAAATAATGAGTTTGGCTTTAATAATAAAGAATAAAAATGGCAGCAGAATATAAAACCTAGTATTAACAAATACTACCTATTGAGCATCTACCATATGCTAGACACTCCGCTAGATGTCTCAATCTCTGCAATAGGGTAACTCTCTTCTTAGCTTCATTTTACAGACGAGGAGACTGAGTCTCAGAGAGGCTATGTAATAGGGCCAAAATCATGTGGCTGATAAATGGTGGAACTAGGCTTTGATCTGACTCTGGAAATAGCTAACTTGAGCATGAGACAGGAGTTGTCATTCTTTCTTTTCTTACTTTTTTTTTTTTTTTAGTTGGAGTCTCACTGTGTTGCTCAG